AAATTAACTCTTCTTGCCAACTTTTTTTGTAAATCAGAAGGTGATAATCTAAAAAAAAAAACCTCCAAAACGACTAATAAAACTGAATTAGTGACGTCAGAACGCCTGGAGAGAAAGAGGACAGATCTGACATCCAGGAATTGGATTCCGATACGCGATTTTATTCGGTTTTATGTGAGTGTATTTTTTTGCGTGAGTGTATTCATTTTATGCATACGGGGTGCGCTATGATTTCCACTTTTGTCTTTGAGAGATCTTTTTGAGATGAAGTTAGGCTGTCGGTAGAGGAGAAAAACGTTAAGATCAGGATTAGTCTCATCTGAAGGAAGGAATATCACAGCTTCAAATAGTGTGAGGAAGGAGTTTTAGGCCTCATTCACACACAACGCAAGCAAAATTGTATATTAAGCATATGCGCGTATATGCGTGCACTATATGCAATCCCAGAGTGCATCACTCATAATGGAGTTTTTAATGTGCTGTACGCGTGTATATGCGCGTAAACACGCGTATATGCACGTAAATATGCAGAAATACGCTGCCCAGACGCATCTCTGTTCCATTCTGTTTATGCGCATATATACGTTACGCAAATATATGGCTCTATACGCGTCTGTGTGTATGGAGCCATTTGCATATGGTACAATACGCGCATACGTGCGGCAGTGTGAATGAGGCCTTACCCTATAAGAAACGCTTTGAGACCCAAGGGTCTGAACACGGAGGTGAGAGGCTTTTTTTATCAGAGCACTGGTGTTTTTTTATGAGCACTTCAGCAAAAAATAAATACACACTAGAAATTACAAGAGTGGGCAGAGTGACGCACAAAAGAAAGACTAAGACAGCACTTTTTTTGAGAGAGAGAGAGAGAGCGCTGTCTGCATTTAATGAATTCATGGACACTTTGTTTCAATTATGTGTTTTACACACTGACACAGGACGTTTGCTACTTTATTAGTCATTTGGAGTTCTTTTTTAGATTATCACCTTGTGATTTACACAAACAGTTGGACATGAAGATTTAATTTGGAAAATATTTGAAATATATATATTTTTTTTCTTTTCTCTCACAATAGTATTGTTCACAATAATATTTGTTTTTTGCACATTTGTTTACTTGTTGGGTGATAGCGCCGCTTCACATATTTGAATATTAATGTTTAATAAATGCTTTCTGCAAGTATCATTATTGGCCTCATACAAAGCATTAGGGAACAGGGACACAAAACGCCATCCATCTAACATTTACATGTCATATCCAAAACGCAGCTTACCAATTTCTCGATTTAGAATTTTCTCTTCCCTATTTCCTACAGGCTCAATTACTTTAAGAAAAGGCTGGAACAGTCGAAGGTCACATAAGCGGCGTGTTTCATCAAAGAATTCCTCTCTTTCTGCCTCTTGTGTAACGCTGACAAAAATATAAGAGGACTCATCTTGAAGCAGATGGTGAAGAGGGTATTTCCGGGCTTCTTTAAATAATTCATGTTTAATGTTGACAAGAGTAGCTTCTCGAATGCATTCTAAAGTCACCATCATCCCATTTGGTAATAAACAGTCTACCAGTATTCTGGGGGGCATCAAGTGGATCCCCCATAATTCTCCAGAAGAAGGCCTAGGCGGCATGATTCCTACACTTGCTTGGTTATCTTTACTCTAGAGGACAGCTCATGTGGCATTTGTCCTGCATGAGGCACCTAAAAAGACAAGAAATGTGAATTAAATACAATAGAAGTTCTAAAGCCTTTATTAAAACAATGTTAGATTTCCTGTGACCCATGACAATGCTTAAAGTGGACTTAGCACCTGGAAAAGGTCCCTTCCATGAACTAAACCCCAACAATGCAGCTTCATACAGTCATATGCCAAAGTCTGGATACTCTGTCAAATGATAGGGCTAGTTCATCTTCTAAAGAAATGTTAAAGAAACCCATCACCAGAATGTTCCTTCATTATATGCATGTTACTTACCTGTAAAAGCCTCCCCTGTGTAGACATCCCAAAGCACTGAGACGGTTGTTGGGCATTTTTGTATTGGATGAGATTTCAGCAGCCCCAGCATACTCAGATTTGTCACTCAAGTGACACTGGATAGAAAGGATAGGCAAACTCCTATCCCTCCAGCTATGGTGAAACTACAAATTCCATCATGATCTGCCTCTGGGAGCACTGCCTGTGCCTGCCAGAGTCTTGCAATGCTTAAAGAGATTTGTAGTTGCACCAAAGCTGGAGGGCCAGAGTTTACCTTTGACTCTTCCAGGAGTAGCAAATTTAAAAAACACATTTCAAGTGAATAAAAAAAAACATTTATGAAATGGAAACACCGCAAACAAACATTCTCTGTGTTTTTGCCTATATTTTTTTAAAAGAACTAAAGTCAACCCTTTTTTTAGTGTTAGTTCACTTTGGGTGACAGGATTACTTTAGTACATGTCCTCCTGTGAGCCAAAAGTCAGAAGATAGCAGACTACTGCCCACTGTATGACGACAACGCAGAGCCGCACTTTGGCTGGGAAAGAACCAGACAATATTGTTGGCATCCATCCTGCTGCCTGATTGACAGCTGGCTCCGGCTCTAGAGAGGCCCGCCTCCTCCCTTGTCGGTCTCTCCAATGAGCACTGGAGGAACAGAGCGAGGGGAGGGGGGAATCCCTGTGGGTAGTAATGTCACCGCTTTCTGCAGGGAGAAGATTGTGAACTGAGCGATCAGCGGGTTGTTAGCACTCAGTTCTCCAGCTATTGGGAAGAGTATATTTTACTCTCCCAATACTTTAAGTTGGTGACAGGGTCTCTTTAACACAAAGTCGACTGGGAATAAACTTGACATACGTCTGCCAATTTTTAAGCTTTAAGAAAGCATCAGCACAGCTTGAGGGCTGCTAAAAGCCTGATTACAACTACAGCCAGCACTCCATTAAGATCTGTATTTGGCATTCAGACTTGAGCTGAAGGGTGTTTTAAAGGATCACCATCACATATTTTTCTCCACATTTACATACAAAACAAAAGGTTTTAACGCACGTGCCATAGTTTGCTAAACAGCTACATGTAAACAGGCTACATGTAACAGTAAAGAAACAATGAATATGCTGAATACTGTGATTAGATTCATAAAAAGTATCTCTAGACAAAACCTTTTTTTTTTTCGGTTTAAGAGAATGGGGAAAGGTTAGATCGTCTCTCAAGATTTTATTGCCGTTTGTGCCCCTCCTGGGAAGTCTTACCCCTCCATTTGTACTGGTGGCCAATATCAATGAAAAAACGTGAGGGGAAATGCAACATTTTACAGCTGACCCCAGAACAAGAGGCAAAAGGAGAAATCTTCCAGTGGCAGCTGTCCAAAAAGGGGACTTGCCCCTCACTTTAGAAGATTCCCTCTAACTTCCTGTTGTGTCTCTGGGATGAGTAATGAAGGTAATTTTTCCCAATAATACAATGAAAGCAAAAATTTAACTGACAGGAGTGTCAACTAGGGCGGCACTGAAATTTCGGCCGCCAAAAATTGCACTTTGGCAAAATGCCAAAAGCGCAATCTTTCGGCCAAAATTGTGGTGCATCCCTGCTTTCTCTCTTCCCTGCTGGACGCTGCTCTGTGTTCCCTCTGACATAGCATTGTGTTCAGCAGGGAGAAGAGGAACTGTCACAGGAGGCCGAACGATGCGGGGGAGAAGAGCGCTGTAAACGTCCGGCGTCTCTCCTCCCGCCCCGCTCAGCCTCCTGTGACAAATCAGGAGAGCAGTGTGGGAGTGGAGACAGCTGTCATATGAGGCTGATCTCTCCTCCCGCACCGCCTCCTGTGACAGATCAGGAGAACGAAGGTGTGGGGGCGGAGACAACTGTCAGAAGAGGTCGAGCTCTGCTCCCCGCACCGCTCGCTCAGCCTCCTGTCACAGCGAGTAAGGAAGGAGAGCTGGTACAAGCACTCAGTGAGTCCTGAATTAAAGAGAAACTCCACTTTATAGAAATAACAAATTGTAAAGAAAGAATATAGCATATATAATTGCTGCACAAGTCATTTTGTAATTGGAAGGGTTAAGGCACTGCACCTTTCCTTATTAGAGCACAGAAAGTCCACCAGCTGATAATGAACCCAGACCCCCCCATTCTGAAACCCGCTTAGAAAGTAAATGCTGAAACAAACAGCTGTTAGAATCCATGAAATGTACATTGATCATCCAGAGGGCTTGTTCACACCATGTACAGACCAGAACAGTTTGTTCCTGGACCAATAAAAACAATTCCATTGTATCCCTATGGTATTTCTGGGCTCTGTTCACACCAGTGCAGTCAGTTCCGGTCCAGACAAAAAAAAAAAAAATTTTTTATTTTCCCTGGTCTAGAACGCATCAAAACCGCATGCAAACGCACTAGAACACACCTGAAAGCCCATTTTAAGCAAAGAAACAAACAAAACAAAAAGAAAAAGAGAAAAGCGTCATAAATGCACAGCACTGCGCAGATCTGCTCCAGATCGTGTACAGACATGGTGTGAACATAGCTACTCCCGGCGGCAAAAGTCATCGGGAGTCTGTTTAAACAGCCCCGATGCTGGCGTACGTCGTCAGTCACGAAGGGGTTAAGCAACCTAGGTGCCCACATATACAGATACTCTCAGGGCTAGAAGGGCTAAATGCCTGGACAACAATCCCTACCACCCGTTTCCCCCAAATCCATTTCATCAGGAAAATAAGTAGTGTTGTGCACTTTCCACGCAGAAAAGTCACCAAAACATGTAATTTAACAAGATGATTTTGAGAAAGAAAAAAATGGATATGTTTTTATTAGAAGAATGACAAAGTATAAATACTTTATTGGATTAATATTTAGTTGTTGGGGCTTTCTGAGGGGTTTTAGGCCCGATCACATCTCTGAAACCTCACACAGATGTGAATGGGGCCTTAATATTTCTTTTAGGTAATCAGATTTGTACAGTCAAAGCTGAACTTGCAAATCAGAACACTACAAAGAGGAAAAAAACAACACCACCTATTGGAATTTTATAAAACTGGGTCAAGAAACAAATTTCTACATAACTAGCCAAATAGTCGCCGGAGGGTGGAAAGCTGGCTATAGGTATTACAATCTGATGGTAGAGCTAAAGGAAATTGTACAAACAACTAAACAGTGCAAGGGCCTGTCTGTACAGAGGTTGTACAATCTGATTGTAACAAGTATAGAGCAAAACCTTGAACCTTCACCAAGATTCTAAATTCTTAAAAATATACAAATAAAACATCCCTGGTCATAATAATGTTCTGGCACATGTGACAAAACTGTACTGCTCCAATCCTTGCCAGACATGTTTCCGATGAGATCCTAGAACTATCCAAGGTGAATATATAAACAGTTCTCATCCTGTTTATGTGTAGATTCCTTTTGTAGCTGGGCCCTAGGAGAAAGCAGAAGAGCATACCACAGACAGAAAGCAGTGCTTTACTCTTGTTCTACCCAGCATAACAATGATCTTCTTTATACAACTCTACTTTACCATTATTGAGCTTTCCAAAACTGATATTGATTAGTTTTGGTCAGAGTGGGGAAGTGCTATACCCAATCAGGTTTTTTCCGTCATCCTCATCCGATTTCACCTTAATTTCTGTCCTGGTAACCAAACAGGAAGTGAGAAAATATCCTTAAATGGGGACAAAGACATCAAATAAGCCTAACTTTTAAAGAAGGTTTAATTACTGTATGTGCCCAGGTCGGAATGCAACACTGGAGACTGGTTACATGAGTCTTATAGGAGATTACCATTATAACCCCCTTGACAAATGAATGCTTCCACTCCCTCTACAGACTACTGGGGTCCAAGGGCCCCACACAACATGTACCAAATGATCAGAACCTTGAGTGGCAGGTTGAGCACCAAGATTTTACAAGGCTCAATTGACGTTCATCGATAGCCAGAATTTATTTTTCATTTTGAATAGAGTGGGGAAGGATCAGAACCCCTATTATGTTTTTACTGCTCTCTGGGATGCGGTTGGAGACATTTCCCCTTATTCACTGTCCCAGGGACAACCTTTTCACCAACCAGAAAGTGAAGAAATCTCCCCAAAAGCAGCACAGACAAAACTAAAAATGCTATTTAGGTTAAATGGGGGATGTTAGAACTAGCGGTTGACCGATTATCGGATCTACCGATAAATAGGGGGCGATGTTTTCTTAACAGGCTGGATATTGCACCCACCCACTGCCTGCTGTCAATCAGCAGAGGAGCGGACCCGAGAGAGAACTTTCCCTCTCAGATCCTTTCTCCTTTACTGATTGACAGCAGAGGAGTGACAGTGCCAGTGAAGGGGAGCCATTCTGTTTACATCTGGCAGCGGAATCTTGCTGCCGGCAGATGGACACACAGCCTGGTCATTGACCTATGTGTTCAGCTGTCCACGTAGCCAGATGTAAACAGAATATCAGCACCTGATATTGGTTTTCGGCCTGGAAGGTGGCCCATAATCAGTTCTAAAAAAAAAACAAAACAAAAAAACACAACAACATCGGTCAGCCCCTAGTTAGAACCACCATCAGCTTTTTACTGTTGTCCATTTCTCTGTTGCAGATTCTCTCTCACTTCCGGTTTGTTAAAATGATGTCCACACAACAGAAAGTGAAAAGCTCTCAAACAAAGCCCCGTATAGCAGTAAACCCCAGCAGATGTTCTAATCCTTCACCACTATCCAAAACAAAGAAAACAATC